ATATATATTTTCTATGTAACTTCAAATGCTGATCCAGAATATATATGTTCGATGAAATTAAAACCCCTGTAAAAATCCTCAAAAGGATAATTAAACTTACATCTTGATGCAACTATTATAACCTAGTTAGACCTCTATCAATTTTTTATTTACTTTACCTGCAGTTCAAAGCTTCCATTTGTTTACTCAAGTCCAAAATTATCCAATATTGTTCACGTTCGACCACCTTTTGCACAGATGTTATGGATTAACTCCTGCTGGGCACGTGCTCATGTCTGTTGATTGGCCTTCAAAAGTATAACGAACCTAAAACTGCTGTATTTACCTTTTTAATTGTTCTACTTTTATTATCAATTTAAAAGCCATATTTTAAAGCAATATATGCCAAACATTATCATATTTATTCAATTACTTTCCATTTACACACGTAATTATTTAGTTTAATAGTTTATAGTTAGCTACTTATCCCTTTGGCTATTTAATGTCTCCGAGTGCAATACCTACTAGTATGTATTTACAGTTTTAATTTAGTTAACATTAAATGCATTCTTAGTTGGTAAATTATTTAGTTAGTTTCTATGGTAAATAACCTAGTTTAAATCGTACATAAGCTTCTCAGCATTATTAGGTTCCTCGCAGTCGAATGAAGCCATCATTAGTTCTGAAAAGAGAAAACAAACAACTTAAGTTCCATGAAATAATCAACATACTTTGGACAACAAAAAAATATGTATAGAAAAAAGCAATTGCTGAGAAAAACAAACGGACTCAAAATCAGAGAAGAAAAAAATAACAAAACTGTTATTTAAGTTGCTCTGTCCACTTGATTGAAAATGACACTCAAGCGTAGACAGGACTCAAGGACTTGACCCAAAACACATTCACTCAAACCCGCATACACACAATTCAAATGGTCCGAAAAAATCTCAGTGAAGCGTGCCAAAATGTTTGATTTTCACGCTTTCGAAGGATATAGTGTCCTTGCTAGAACTTTCGCTTAAAATAATGAAAATACTTTTGAAAATACTTTTTTAATACAAGGCGGCCTTCATATATTGATTGATTATTAAGTTGGTGAAGTTTTAGGTATATTGCAAGAGGGGAACAATATTTTTTAAAGTTAAATTTAATTATCTGAAAACTTAGCTCAAGATGACCAAATAAGTAAGCTTATCTTATTATGTTGATATAATTTTTAGGTACCTTTATATATTTCTAAATATATGCTTTGAATCCTTAGAAAAATCTTTATAAAAGGGTATTTTTAGTGTCGACTTTAAGGATTCAGTATACATTTATTTTTTTGTCGTCCAGCTTGGCACGTGTTCTATGGCAGGGCCTTGAGGCTTCGTTGCTGGTATTTTTTGTTTACTTATTTTCAGCACGCACTCAGAGGAGGAGTGGCGAACCAAACTTTGAGCACTCAGTTAAAATTTATGAAGCCGGAATGTAACAATATTTAAATTTCATGTTCGCAAATGTGAAAAACAATTCCCAGAAAAAATGTTCAATCAACGCTTTAATTTATGCAAGTTTTTATGTGGACAGAAGTTTATATTTACAAAGTTTGTTTGTGCAGAGTAAGTAGTGATAAACAATTAAAACTTAATATATTATTTATATTTTTAACATAGCTTTTCTTCTTCTCCCATTGTAATTAAAAATCCTAGACCACAACTCATATCTTTTTCAATTTGATATGCATATGCTTGAGTACCTTACAAGGATCTCGGTTAAAATCCGTTTAAACTAGAACAGCTTGAACTGGAACTCATTTTGGCCTGGGTTAACTTCTGGTCAAGAGCTGACAAGTGCGGCGGGTTTACTTTATTTTTTTTTGGGGCCAGTCCACTTGCATTTTAATAGAAGAGAATTTAATAAAGTTGTAAGGAAAAAAGGCACATTTTTCTACACATAAGTGTGGAGGAGGAGGAGTCTCCTCTCCTACCGTGTCGTTGGTGTCCAATTCACACCATGGGCCCATTAAAATTTTACAATGTTTGGTGAGCAGGCTCCTCGTTTGGTCAGCGCTTTCGGCCAACAGATGTGCGCTTGACTTGCCGCAAAATGTGGCATGACCGGCATCCTCTATCTTAGTCCTCGAAAAAACCAGTAGTTCGTCCCCCTTCTTCCACTGTTGTGTGTGTGTGTGTGTGTGTTTATAGGATTTGTGTTCACATACTTCGTATGCTTGAGCAGCAGGAGAAAAAAAAAATATTACAAAACATTCGCATGGAATGAAAATTTTCAAAAGTGGAGGAGGAACGCCAACGCCATGAAGAAATGTTGCCTTTGGTTATGGAACATGGCGAAAACCATGGCTAGGTATCAACTTTTTTCTCGTTTTTTTTTTGTTCTGTCCCAGGACTAAGGACTGAGTCCTTTCTTTCCTCGCCCTTGTTTAGTTTTAATGGAGTCGTGTGTGTGTGGCGTGTAAATATTTTCCCCTGTCCTGGGCCAGCTGAAGATTTGTGAGGCGACTCGGTTCGGTTTGGCTAGGCTTTTGGTTGGGTTTAGTTAGGCTTCTCTACAGCAAGAAGCTTGTTACTTTCCAGGGCGCAAATATGGTATATATATGTATATATCCTTTCACCCGCCCACATGGTGTCTAACGAGCGGTTAACAGGCCAGTTTTAGTAGAGTTAAAAAAGGAATATCGAAAAGTATGAAGGGTTATCTGGGAGACAAGTGAGAAAACTAACCTCAAGCTGATTGCAATTCTGATTTTTTGATGAAAATTGCATGCATTGTTTTGTCAAAAAAATATGGATTAAGCTGTGTACAGTTTAAAGAGATTAAATCCAGGAAAATATTTCAATTTTCATTTATAAAGATTAAAGACCAAGAATCTAAGTCTCAAAATCCATTACATTTTTATTTATAAATATTTTAAATTGTACATTTTATTCCCCCACTTACAACGAATGATATTTTATTATGATGAATTGCTTTTACAGTCCAGGTAAATGTCTCCCTTTCATGCACTTGAATGGAAATAATAAATGCATGGCCTTCAGGGCCATCTCCTTGGTGTCCAAGAAATATTTCCCGACTCAGTGAGGCATCAATTACTTGCCTCCAGCTTTAGAGACCAAACAATAGCCAACAGCCGTAACTACTGTAAAATTGTTTTGACTCCAACCAAAGGACGAAGACAGACATGGTGGACAGGTGATAGATAACAAGGACAGTCTATGGTCATTTTTCTACGCCCAAGGGAACCCCAGAGTGATGCACGAAAGAAGATGAAATCTACCCACAACTGAATGCCAATAACGTGCTGCTGTCAGTCGGCTTTGGATGTGACTTTTCCGGGTTGGAAACTGTGGGTGGGGTAGTTACTAACTGCAGTTTTTCCTTTTATCTATATGTATTTATCTGGAATGTCGGGCCTGTCAAGTTCCCGGCTGACAGTGACTAAAACAATATAAATCTAAACAATTTTCAGTGCTCAATGGCAGTGATTTAAGCTTTGGGTTTTATTTGTTGTGTTGGATAGTTCTTTTTTAAAGAGTATTTGTTTCTAAACCCCCTTATATTTAATAGATGGTTTCTGGTCATATTTTATAAAATCTTATATCTTAAGGACTTGACACATTTAGTCTTAACTATTAATTATCAGCTTTCAATTCCCTTCTGAAATTAGCATTCGACTTAAGTACAGATAACTGAACATGGTCTGCAATTTATAATTTAATTTCTTAGACAAACAAACAGAATCTACCAACAATGATGATGACTACGATTGCCAATCCAACTGATGGGGATTTGGTGAATGACTTTACTCTGCCATCGAACCAAGGATAATTTAGTTTTGGCCAAGGATTCGGATTCGGATTCCCTTCCCTCCCCTTAATGAATAGTTCATGCATTGGCCCAGCCCTAATTACCATATCTAAAGCCTAATGAGCACAATTGAAATGGCATATCCGAGGACACCATGGCAAATATATGTATATATAAATTAGTTACATTCAAATTTCTTTGCAAGGATCTAGTATTTGAAATGCTTGTGGGAAATTCCTCTGAACTTGATGCCCCACTTCTGTGGCATTTAGACAATTTTCCAATGAAGTTGTCTTTGCTGATGGCAATTAACAATTAATTTAACACGAATGGAAATTCTGAGGTCTTGACTTTTGACACTAACCCTATGAGATTATTATTTATCCGGAAGAGTCTTGAATATACATTTTCTGGTTGAAAATATAGATATTTATATTCATATTGGAATTCCCTGGCTGGTAAATATTATTCTTGGCAATTTTCTTTGCACATCTAAATGCAATTTCTGTACGTTGTAGTTTGGCATTTGTGAGATGCCTTTTCTCAGTCCCATTTTCCCATTTTCCGGGCAGACGTGCCGCATCAAATAGGCATATCTTGGATGACAATTTGCAGGGAAGGATGTGCAGGGAGTGTGCAGTCAAAGGACCTGCCAGACATTCAAGAGGATGAGGGCTGCTTTTCCTTCCTTTTTTTTTGGGTGCAACGTTTGTCCCTTGCTTCCTCTCTCCTCTCTCCCCCTTTGTGTTATCCTGCACTCCCTTTTTCCTTTCGTTTTCTCCTTTTACCAGTCATATCACATACTGGCAAAAGGAGAATCTCGAGTGGTCCCTGACATAACAATGCTCGTGTCTCCATGGCCCTGAGAGTGTGCGTTTGTGTGTGGTTAGATTTGCAAAGCAAAATAAATAAATATAAAAATATAAAAATGGGACTAGAGTAACGCTAGAAGGGAAAACAATTAAATGCCTTTGTGATCCTTTGATGCGATTTTGAAGGAATTCTTTGGCATAGTTTCTGCTAAATTGTTGGTTTAAATGCCCATAGTTTGCCATTTTGGAATATATTAGTTTTAAACTTTAAATTTTAAAATCTCAGGCATGGTTTCCTTTGGCAAGAATCAATTAATATAAAGATAAATGTAGTAAATGTATACAAAAAGCTCTTAAATATTACATTGTGACTTTATATATCCTAACTGAACTCCCCAAAACCCAACCAAACAATGCATTCCTCTGGCATTTCAGGCGACTTAAATCCGCAATCCTTGGTCCCTCGAGGTCTTAACAGAGTAAACCAGCCGTCAGACAATTACCTCCACATTAAGGGCTTGTTATTAAAAAATTCCTGGCGTGTTCAACATATTTACCAGCAAAAGCGAGTGGGAAAACAGGAAGGGATAAGAACCGTGTATATAGTTCGCTCCTCTGGACTATAAGGGTCAGGATGTTGTTATTCGCTCTGTGTTTTTTTTTTATGTCAGGTAAAAACTTTCAAGAATGCGGCTCTAAAGATTAAGGGCAGAAGAAAAAAAAAAGAATAAACCGAGAAAATAAGAACTGTTTAGTGGCTGGGAGGAAATGGAAACACGAAAGGCTTAAATCAACTCAAATAGTATACAAGTGGTCCAACGGGGCCAAAGGATAATAAAGAAAGGATAAGAGAACGGAAACAATGGGCGATTATAAAGCCAAACAAAGCTTGGAGACTCCACAAGTTTATTAAAGTCATGTAATTTGGCGGAGAGTTTATTAAAGTTGTTTTCCCATACTTGCGGGTTGATCATTTTATGATGTATTTATATATGTGTATAAAGCGTTTATCTTCCCTATGTTTATGGCTTTAATTAGGTTTTTAGAAATAGATTTAAAATTTCTATATATGTAAACCTCTTTGTCCTTGATTTAGCAACCAAAATTATTTGTTTTTGCATACTTTTCAAATATATATATTAAAAACCTTTGGGGACGAAAGAAAAATATATATATATATATATATAATTCAATATAGGGTATCTTAAAGTCGCTGCACTAGCATTTATCCATATATTTTGTATTTTTTATATTCTGGAAATGTCACCAATGAAAGTAGCATGTTCTTCTCTTGCTGCCAGCAGGTGGCGCTACACTTCCGCTTTTCCGTATCCTTTGACAGCTTATAAACATGATTATGTTACACTGTGTGCAAGTGTGTTTCTGTACAGAAAACTTGATAAATAACTGTCCACTGTGAACAGTGGGGGGTAAGCCGCGTGTATCCTTTTGGCCAAAAAATTCATTTCATTAACAGGAACTTTCAAAAGGAAACAAAAAGAAAGCATTTTTCGGTCAGTATGAAAAACGCATTCAGCTTGCCCAAGTATGTGGGAATAACTAGGAAAAAAAGGATGATGGGGGGGAACAAAATAAAGAAGCCAAAAATTTATTTATACAGTTTTCGAAAGTGCATCAAACTTGGAAATAACTTTTAGTCTCCCATTTTTATTTTTTGTTCTCCCTGGGGAACTTCGTTTGCATTTTACGTTGCTGACGTCGGCTTAAAGTTTAGCTCAACTTTTCGACTTGGTGGACAGTTTTTTTTCGTTTGAGTTTTTCGGAAAGGAAACTGATTTAGAAGATGTTCGCTTGACTTAGCTAAACAACCAACTGAAAAAAAGAATGGAAACCCACTGCAACTTCAGGACACAAAAAAAAAAAAGAGGAAAAGCAAGATGCAAAAGCCATTTGGCATTTCTTGAGCAGGACAGCATGGAAAACAAGTTTGACATCGATGCGGCATCAAAAACAAATATAACCACAATAACAAGTCCGACTTTCAACTCAAAGTTGGCCAGGAGTTGCCTAATGCTGTAAACAGACTTTACGCAAATGGATTTTAATGTCTTTTTACTGAGATTTGCAATGCAAGTTTAAACACAAATGGTTTTTTTGGTTTGGTAATTAAAGTATTCTAAATATTGAGAGTATGGAAAAGATGAATAAGTTGTCAAGGTGCAAAATGTATAGGGTATTCAGTACTCTACAATATTATACACTTGATTATAATTAACTAATAGTTCCTTAGCATTTTCCACCTCAAAAAGTTTACCCTGTTTTTGCGGAAATCTCATTTACCTTAACCCATTATGCATGACATGAAGCATTCTCCGATAAAGTTTTCCAGCTCGGAGGCTCAGGCTGTTGATTTTCCAAACACATAAAAATCCTCTCCACCATAAGTTTCCATTCCTGGCTTGGTGAGGTTCTTTTTTTTGTTTATTATTATTATTTTTTTTTTTTGCTCAACTTCCGCTTCTGTCAAGATGCGTTTTGCCGCAACACCCAAAGACAACTTCCCTTCTGCGCTTTTGTTGGTATTTGTGTATTTGTTGGTATTTGTGTTGTTGTTTCGCCAGTGGCAAAAGCCTTCAAAAGTTGCTTTACGTTGCCTCGGTTTATAATGAGTTCTCGTGGATCCAACAATATGTGAGTGAGTGTGTGTGTTTTGTGATTTTTGAGTTTGTGTTGGCAACTGTGCTGCCAGAAAAAGGAGTGTTTTAAACTTAAATATCTACAAGTTGTATAATAATAAGAATATATATAAAATAGTGTGATTTTATTTAAAGAGAAGTATTAAAATATCTTTCAAAAAATGGTATTTACTATACCTGAATAAATAATATAGTCTTCACAAAATGTAAAAAAAAATTCCAAAGGCTCGTTCTTGTTTATTTTAATATTAATTTGTTAAATTTGTGTTACTTTAATTTAATTCTATATAGATAAACGTACAACTCAAAAACTGCATGTTCCCCTAAGAAAATGCATTCAATCTTTAAAAATACATTAAAAATCCAATAAAATAAATTACTATGATACACTGGAAAATAAAATAGCTAACTTGGCAGCATCATTTGTCGCGCTTTCATTTCTGCACTTTCTTTTTGCTGTTTGATGTCTTTGCTTGCTTTCATGCAACATGGCTCAGGCCCCCCTTCCGCCAGAATAGTTTCTTTTTTTCAGGTTTATTTTTTGTCATGTGCACATTCCGTGAAAAATATATCAACTTGCCGGGCATTGCTGACAGCTCCAAGAAGGATTTACAAAAAACAAAAACAAAAAAAAAGAAAGAAGGAAAACCCTGAAGAACGCTCGAGAAAAACTTTTTACACTCTCTGACAACACGTGGTGCACCTTGTTGCGATTGCAAGTGCAGCTTGCCACGTTGTTTTGTATCCTTCTTTTGGCAGAAGCTGTTTTATATCTTTGTTGTCCTGTCTGAGGCTTGGGGATATGGGAAGTTTCTCAGTTTATATTTACTGAGCTAGCCAAAGCCTTTCTCAATCTGAAGGCGATGGAAGCGCAGATTAATTGAGGTTTTTTGTTGCTGTTTCCCACCATTATTCGTTGGGAATTTAATCAAAAATGAAGGAACCAGATGGTCTTAAATTACGTTTATAAATTATTATATTTCTATCACTTTTGGCATCTTTAGTTTGTTTTGTTGGGTATATAACTTCATTTTATCCATTTATCTCCATTTTTGTACAGCTTTCTACCTTGTAATTTACAGCCATACAATCAAATATGCAAAATAGTCAACTTACTAAAAAGTTTAAAAAGTTGCTGGGCAAAAAACAATTTATTTGTATATGTAAACAACTCTCCCAGCTGTTTTTCATTATTTAACCTTCTTTTAAGGTGGCAAAGACCATTAAATTCAGCATAAATTTTTCTTATTAAGCTGCCATCTCCCATAGTTTGTCATCATCAGTAATTAAAACAAAGACAAGATAACCATCAAACCGGAAAAGACTTGTTCTAAAAGCAGTGAAGGGGGTTACTATAGTTACTTAAGGGAAATAAAGAAAGGGGCTAGTTTGCGGTTTTATTAAGTTCATGAACAATTTGTGGCCATAAAGTGTCTGCTTATGGTTTTTTTGTGTTATTAATTTAATCTGCTTAAGCAGAGGTTCAACTAAAAAGCATGCGAAATAATATAAAGCCTTCTTAACTGGGACCTAAACAAACATCACCAAAAATTACAATTAGACTTTGGATAATCCAAACATTGGTTGGAAGTAAATACCAACTAAATGCAAACACACCATTTTACCAAATGTGGTTTTGGGCTTTGGTTTCATTTTCATATTTCCCTTGTTTGCATTTTAATTGTCGTTCTGCTAAAATGACTCTCACCCTGTGTTCTGTGTCACTGCAGCCGCGAATGCATTTAATTTTTCCCACAGGCATTAAAACATTTAACTAACTCGCCACCAAAAGGGAACTTGAATATATATATATATAGAGAAATATATATGTATATAGTACTTCCGTGGAAATCTCTACTCGTTCCACTTAAAGTCGCACGCTGCAGTTAAACTTTACACAATGCAAAGAAAAACAAAAGGATAGAAGAAACCGTGAACAAACTTTGAAAAAGGCGAAGTTTTGAATACTCTTGAAAATAAAGGAAAGATAAATATATAGAAAAAAAAAAAATAATAATAAATTATCTGAATAATATTTACTTCATTTATTTGACTAAAGAGTGGGTAAAGTAAAATTAATTTAAGGTAAGTATTTCCCACATCTTAAAAGTTTTAAACCTCTTTGATTTAATAACTAAACAAGGCTTCAACGTATTTTTACTAGTTTAAAATTCATATTAATTTAATTATATATATAAATGCACATATACATATGTACATAAAGATATATATATAAATATACATTTAATTGTATATACATAAATATATACATACATATATTATATTTGAGATCCGATTCAAGCTCTCTGAACTATATTAAATTGAGATTTTGTCGTCGAAAAATCTCGCACTTGGGAACATATGATTCCCAACTTGTTTTAACATCCCCGGAACGAAGTGACGGTTGCCGGCCAACTTTTAGATACAAAAGTTGCAAGTCATGGTTACCTTACTTAGTGTTTACCTTGCTTAGTGTTCATATTTAGTTACTTACTTAGTGATCATAATTACTTATTTAGTGTTCATATTTAGTTACTTACTTAGTGATCATAATTACTTATTTAGTGTTCATATTTGGTTACTTAGTTATCATAGTTACTTATGTAGTGTTCATAGTTATTTAATTACTTAGTGATCATAGTTACTTTTGTAATGTTCATAGTTATTTACATACTGTTCATAGATACTGACACCAAAAGCAACTTAAGGATTAAGTTACAATTGTCTAACTTTATGTTACATATTCTTTAAACTATAATTATAATTATTAACGTAATAACTACCTCAAAACCAATATAATATATATAACAAGTTTCCCCTCAATTTCTTTCTCTTTTAACTTTATAAAACTACATCCTTCGATCTCTGTGCACGTATATGTATATAGATACCTTTATTTCAGGGTATCGAAACCCTACAAGGCCCTGCAATGCCAGTGAAAAATGTGCAAAAACGGCGATAAAATATGTGAAGTGGGCGGGGGTGTTGGAAAACAAATATACATACGCACACACACTCAGATACACTCCACACACAATCAGGCGGAAACTGGCGAAACTGTGAAAAGGGGTAAAGTTTTGGAATTTGGAGAATATTACTTACCCGCCTCGCCAAGTTTCGTCGTTTGCTGCATGTGCCAGCAGAAGTGCTCGTATTCGCCGCTAGATGGCGCCTGGGCCGCCTTCATCGCCTGCATATGCTTGGTGAATGCCCCAACAATGGCCGCCATGCGATCGAAGGCCGCCATATTGATGTGGCCATTTGCTAAGCTGCAAAAAGTGCAAAGTGAAGGGAGAGAGAGAGAAGGGAGAGACAAACATGGAGAGAAGAGAAAAAGCGAAAAGAGGGAAAATAAGTTCGACTGGCAAAACGGGAATGGTAAATAGCGAGAAAAGTCTGTTTTCCTGGCCGATAAAAAGGCATCGCTTTGTATTTGCAATGCAAAAATGGCAATGTTTGTTTTTGGAAAAATAAAAAACTCGGCAGCCAAAGAAGCTTGAAGGAAATGTTAAACATAAGAAAATACAAATATTTAGTTAAATTTGATTGTAAAATATGGTTTCATATATTAAAATAATTTATGTTTGTATAAAATCTTGAGTTTAAACTTAAATATCGGTGGCTTAAATTGTAAAAAAAAGATTTTAATTCAGACCTAATATATTAAAACTGATTTAAGTTTTGAGTCTTAAACAGATTTGAAATGTTTTCAATTGCAAATCCACAACTGAAATACCGTACTTATTTAGTAATTTTAGTATTTTTTAAGATGATGGTGAAATTTTTGTATGAAACCAAGAAAATAATATTTAAAGAAACAAAAAATAAATTTTAATATTTCTTGAAAAAAATTTAAATCAGTTAAATCAAGATAAAGCTAATTTTTGTTTGCTTCTATGAATTATTTGTCATGTTCTAAATTAAATAAGCTTTTAGTTACTTGAAATAAATAATACTAAATTTAAAGTTATTTGCATTTAATTTTCTTCAGTGTAAAGGAGACCTTTTTTCCTTTTATTGAATTTAATCCTGCAGCGGCTCTTTTAATTAGCACATTGAAAAGTCGATTTACGCTTATACGCTTCATTTGATTGCAAAACTGGATGCGACATTGAAAACTCAACTGCTAAACGAATGGTGGGTTTATTTCATTTTTATTTTTTCCTCCTGCCATTTCTGCGTTCTGATTATATTTGAGAATAAATTACCCCGTCTGGGTGTACAGTATGAATATGTGTACATATACGCACTTTGGTGCGTTTGTGTCTAATGAGGTCAATTGAGACCACCAGTGGTCACTGGTGCATACTTTATTGTTTGTTTCAGTACGTTATCGTTTGGCCCAAAGGGAGCAATGCATATGGTGGGACTTTGGGCCACAAACAGCAAAAACTACAACAAAGGGTTGTAACGAGGCCGTTTAGGGACCCTGAATTAGGCTTTATATGTTTTACGGTTCTAAATAATGCATTTAATGGAAAATTAGCTGAAGAGGGGAATAATCCGGAGTGAATAATTAAGAGAAAAATGCAACGGAAGAGAAATTAAATTTAAAATGTATAAATGGTATATTACCTTTGTTTTGTTTATTAGGATAAAATATTCATTTTAATTTATAAAACCCCCATTAATAAGAAAAATTTAATGGAATTTATAAAATTAAAATATAAATATTAATAACACTTTCAATCATTTAAAGTTTATTAATACAAAGAATAAAATCTATAAGAATAAAATACTTTATTAAAATTCCCTGCCTGATGTTCTGATATCGAAAAAACAATAAATTATCTATTTTGTCAAGTACATTTGGCAAACAAATAAATAAACACTTAATAATAATATTTAAAACAATACTTAAGCAAAGAGCTTTAACTGTTATATTTCATTTAAATATATGTTTTTGGTCAATTTCATTTAATCATCAGTGAAAGTCAATTTAAAATAAATACTCTAGAAACAAAAATAAATTTATTTCCACTGATTTTGCTCATCAACGCGTTCTGTTTCAATCGGTTTTATAAAAAAAAAAATATTTATATATAAAATAAATGGATAAGAGAGGAAAAGCTATTTATGTTATATTTTTTTTTTTATGAATTTCCGTTAAAATGATTTCCAGTTTTGCCATTCAGCCCATAATCATTTATTTTGCCACTCTGCGGTTAATTAAATTTAAAGCGCAAATAAATATAAATGAGAGTACAAATACGTTCGGGAGATAAATGAAAATGAAAATGCTGAAGTGCAAAAACCCCAATTGTTTTGTCGGATTGCGAATGAGCAATATATTAATCATACGACCCCTTGGCCAAGCGGATTTATTGTTTTGCCGGATTTGGGTTCGTCGGCGCTGTGATGATGCCACATCAATCAGGCGGAGGCCAAATTGAACTTACCGCTGCAAACAGTTCTCACGTTCGCCCAATGCCAGTTTAACAATATCCGCAAACACTGGAATAACAACCCAATCATTTGGCTTTCCCGTCGTCCCAGCTAATGGTGTGGTTGCTGTTGGTAGTGATGTTGCCGCTGTGGCATTTACTGTTGCTGCTGCAGCATCCACATTGTTGCTGCCAGTAGCCGCAGGCACTGAAGTTGTTTCCATTGTTGCAGCTGTTGCAGAGAGGGAAAAATGTATATTTAAGTTAGTTATTATTATGATAAATATGATTAAAGTATGGAAATGAAGATCTTAAGAGTTGAACAATTAAATTATTAAAAGGTTTCTTTAAAGTTAACTTTATAAAAATCATGCAATTTAAGTAAAAATATGTATAACTTTTATTAAATAAAAGCCCAAATAGTTGGCAAGTCTGATCATTATTTTTTCCCGTGCCGGAAATATGTACATTCGTACCGGAAGTGCCTGTTGTGCCAGCCACCATCACTCGCCCACTTGTCGATGGCTTCTCATCCGTGTCGTCGGGGACTGCAATGGCCATTGATGATGTGGCAGCTGCTCCTCCTCCTCCTTTGCTCTTCTCCTTGGCCGCCTGCTTATCAGTCTTGAGATGGAGCCCATCCTGCTGCTCATTTAGGACGATGGCCTGCTTCTGCCATAAATGTCCATGGCCCTCGGCATGTCGCTGCATGCAGTCCAATTGTTGACACGTCACTTGCAATTTGCTCCACTGTAATCAAATCGAAATCCATAAATGAGCATCATTCGTAGTGGTAATCTTGATACGAAGGATTCCTTCCCCATACCATGATTTCATTTCCTTGGTTTTCTGTTTGTGTTTTTTTTTTGCTTCTTTTTGTGATTTTTCTTTATTTTCCCTGTTTTTTTTGGGTTGTAAAAGTTTATGGTTTTGTTTGTTCTGTCTGTTTGTGTGAGTTTTATGCTGGTAATTTACGTCGAAAAGCTTTAGATCGAATTTTATGGGCGACATTTGGCCTTTGTCTGATAACATATTAATTAGGATTTCTAAAGGGGCATCAGGGAAATGCTTTTTGGGGGATTTTACAAGCATTAAACTGAGTGTTGGAATCGCATCGAAAAAAAGGGGAGAGCAGCAAGCATCTTAAGGGATCTTGGCAATTTATTATTTCAGGGTTTCACATTGAAAAACATTCTTTTGTTGCTGCTCCAAAAAAAGGACACCAAGAGCTGAGATGGCTCGTTAGGGAAGCAAATGCATAATAAGTTTTTGTGCACCTATTTTTCTGGCGGATAATTTAAAGCTTTTCAGAGTTTCGGAGTTTTTTGTGGACGTCACATTTATTGCACACTCATAAACATTTCACCAGTAACTATAGAAGTATATATATTTTTATTTATATATGTATATATACACTCTCCTTGCTGATACACAATGCATTGTGACACGCCCACTCTTTGCCACCACAACTATGCATAGTTCTGTAAATTTATGCAATTCTTTTTCATTTTTTATTCGACAAAAATGGGGAATCCCTTTTTTCATTTTACATTCCTCGCTGCATACTTTTCAGCGCCCATTGTCCTCCGAAATGTACAAAGCATTGCAGAATTTATAGCAGCTGAAGTGCAGCAAGAGTAAAAATTAAAAAGCAGCAGATGAAAGTTGAAATACACATTTAATTGCCGAGGCATATAAATTAGCATTCGAAACACTTCTCCTGTAATCACAATTTATGATATCATAAGAATTCTATGGCTTTAGTATAACTTTAATCTCGAATTGTATCTGCTTTATTTAAAAGGTTTACGTTTACTGATTAATGCAGCTTAATTTTTCTTTTGTTCGCTAATAAAAAATGGCACATTAAAAATCTGAAATTCCCGGAAAAATTGTAAACTTTTACTCTATGATGAATAAAATATAAGCCGAAGCTTCGAAGGGTAGCGTTAAGTAACTTTTAACTTGATTTTTTCATTATGAATGGAAAAAATAGAATGCCAAGTCTAGTGTTAAACGGAGGCGGCAGTAGAGAGAAGCCAAAAAATAATATATATAGATAAGGAGAAAGGGAAAATTGCAGAATCCATTAACTAATTAAAAAGTTTTTTAATGAAAACTAGCTTCATTTGCTGCTGAATGCAAGGCAACACGCTGCGGTCTATTGAGGGGGCTGAAAGGGCCAAAGGTGCGGGCGATGTGCCAAATAACTGAGTAAATATATAAACTTGATGGAATTGGGCCAACTGCAGTGAAAATGTGGTTGCTTGGGCGTGGTCATTTCCCCCTTAATACAGTTTCTTTTCGCCCCTATTTTTCGCAGCGAGTTGGTAGCCTTTTGTGTAAACAAAAATGCTGTGGAATAACTTTCGTTGTTATGACAACGTGGCACAAAAATGACAGCACCGAATGATTATTTAAAACTTGCTTTTGAATGGTGGCATTTTGTGATTTAAAATAGATACTCCATTGAAATATTAATATTCAATTATGTTCAGAACAAATACCATTTGCCAGAGCACTGCCATTAATGGGTTCAATATTTAACTGAGAAACCGACAGACCAAATTCGAACATGGTCCTAAATCTTTTAAGCTCCTTTACGCCGAAATGCATTAGGCTGCATAAATATCTGCTGACACGTACAAATATCCTAGGCATTGGGTCCGGCCTTGTGGCAAAAAGATTTTCCTCGAGTTCACACACAAATGAAGAGGCAAGGAAAAAGGATAAACGCAGCAGGGGACAAGAGAGATAGACATGGTTTCCTTGAGCAAGAATCTCTTTTAGACATGATGATGGGGAAGAAGTGTGTCTTTTCTGGGGTATTTTAAATTGGAAGAACGGTTTGTTTCCACATAATAAAATATATATAATAGATGAATAATAAATGCATAATATTACAAAATATTTGACATGGAATTATATCAGAAAAATAGTTAAGAATCAGCTAAAAATATATTTTTATTTCCCCAAAGTAGGAAAGGACTTTCGGATTATTGTTGTAAGTATTATTTACATGTTTCCAACTACATTTTATTTTAAATTTATAGTTTGTAATCATAAAAATAACTTCTGGGATATTTTTTAAAATTACATATAGGGTATTTTCACTTCGTCTTTAGCTATACACCATTTTCCTTGTCTAAGCATGAATGAAAATGGCCTCAAGGCGCTGCTTTCTAACTTTTTACAGCGTGCAATTACAGTGCACATATACACTTGCACTCCCACACCCACACACACATAGACACACTCGAAGGCACATACTCCTTACTGGCAAAAGGAGCAATTTTATTATCCTTGCCCGTTTCGTTGTACTCTTTGAGCAAATGATTATACTGGTACTTTTGCTTACGATAACTATAGCCAAGCTTAAGTTTCAGTTCTCTCTTGGAGTTTATGGAAATTTGCTCTTTGAAATGTTTGCTTTAGTATATACATATATGAAAATGTCATTGGAATTGATGTCTGACAGTTTGGCAAATGATATTCCATTCGGTTTAGTGGCCTTTCCTCGCCGGAGACCTCCGCCAATTAAAGTTTCACAGCGCAATTTGCTGAAGGGGAATTATGAACCCAAAACCCATTTCGTTGCCTCGCCACGTAATTTGCCTATAAAATTGTTGTCTATTTAATTTTCTGCATTTATTTAACAAAATTTATGGAGTGGCACGTTCCAATGTTTGTCATTATTTTTAGAGTCTTAAGTTGAAACTGCGCGTAATTAAGTTTTACTTTCGATTTTTAGAGTGGAAAGGAAGACTGTGATTTTCACTGGATTTATATGTTATATTAAATACTTCAAAGGAAATTAATAGAAGCTTAAAGTTCGTTGAAATGATTTGAAAATCTAAACAAAAGAAAGTAACTTCTCCGTGGATATCCCACATTAAACTATACAAAAATCGATAGATTAATTTCCTTTAAACACATAAAAACCCCGGTGGCTGTTTAATTATAAACACCAAATTATTTTCCGCAGTAATAAATTTGTCAATGAATTAGTTTTGTTTTTGTTGAGATAAATTAAACCAAAATAAATTAGATATTTTTCGTCTGATTTATAATGGCATATATCATCCATGTGTGTTTGGGGTCGTAATTAATTACAGCTTTATGCAAATTTAATTGCCATTATTTTGGCATAGTTTTCTGGATTTGGATAGTTAGTTTTAGTGAACTCACCGTAACTTTTAGCCTGGCTATTGCCGGCGATTCCAGCTCTCCAAAATGGCCGTGGCACTATTGTAATTCCCCACAAGCAGGCAATATTGGGCCACACCGCTCCAGAGCTCCACAGTCCGGCTGCGTCCCTCGATACCAACGCTCTGGAATATGGAAGACAATGATGTTACAGACGACAGTGGGAAAATGAAAGATTTATTTGATTACGGAAGTTAGTTAGACGTGGTAGAGGAGGAAGGACTCGGACCCACGTGACTTGGCCAAAGTTTTAACGAGTCGCTTACACGGCCAACTGGCAAACTGTCAATGAGACAGTTACGAACGGCATAAATTATATGCCATCTTGAGAGCGTGCCTGACTGAGACAATCATACAGTTGTGGTGGGAATAATAGGATCATCATATTATATAAAAGAAATACTGATAATAATAATACCTTTGACTAATATATAAAAGAAATACTGTGAGAAATGGCATCCTAAAGAACGTAGAAATAACTATGCCATTAAGTTTGTTTCGTTTTCAGTTTCCCAATGAAATTCCTAAATATTATTTATAGATCTCTTATACTTTAAAGGCTCTATTTGATTAACCGCTGCTGTAGGACCATCCAGGATATCGCTGGACGTGCCCTCCCTGCATATTCAACATGCATGGGAATTTTAATTCAATCCACTGGGTCTAAGGACTCGTGCGCTCCGTTTAACTTGGAAGCCGGACTTCACTGCAGCAGCAGCAGTGGAGCTGAGTGCATCGGAGTGAAGTTTGCCTGCCTGCTGACCCCCAAAATGGTTATGAGCTCGTCCTTTCCACTCACCTGCAGTATCTCATTGCAGACAAACAGACGGAGACGTGTCGACCAATCCAGATACGTTTCCAGGTTGCATGTCTTCTTTGGATCCTGGGCTCCTGGCGGTCCCCCCGATGTGGATGGTTGGTCCCATTTTTTCTGCATTAAACAGAAAAAAAATGACAGAGAGAAGAGGAAATGGCAGAGAGTTGTTGTTGTTGAAATGAGACGCATGGCTGAAGGGGGGCATTGTTAATGAAGCTGCTTGTCGTCATTTTAATTGCATGTCCTTGTAGGCGCCTGAAAGTGTGTGTCTGTGTGTGTGTGTGTATGATTGTTTGGGCCAGAGAGTGCTCTCCGTGTAATTTATGCAAAACTGCAGGATTGTTCTTATGGCAAATGTTGACTTATGCTGAGGGAAACATTTGCAATTTAGCGTGCATTTAACTTGAAGAATATAATTTCATTTAGTTGGTTACGGATAAAAATTTGTCCTGGGGTGTTCATTTGAGCATCAAGATCTGGCGGGGATCTAAATTAATTAAATGTACCTACAATTTGCCAACAGTTTTTGCATTTATGAGAGGCTTTTCAGGATTTCTTAATTGCTTCATTATTATTAAATGCTACGCGCAAATAATGTGGGAATATAAAATCTAGTCTTAGTACCCTCTTTTCCCATCTTTAAACCTATTAAAATGTATTTTCTCTCTTCTTAATTCTAGAGAAAGGTAATGTTTGGTTTGTGCTATATTTTTCTCTCAGTGCTTACCTGTTTATCGAGCAGTATCATGCTGCTGCACTGAAGGAATTCCTCTCCGCCAATGTGCTTGGCCAGTTTCTTTTCCAGCCGACAAACGATTTGTGCGTATTGCGTGGCCGTTGGACAGTTGAGTGGAGTCTCTACTACAGACTACATTGAAAATCCCCAAAAAGGCAGCGGAAAATGGGAAAATGGGAAAATCGAGGTAAACAAGACATAGAAGAAGCGGGGGGACGTTAGGCACTTTTAATGCATCCCACTCAGTGTTGCTCAAATACTCACAGATTATACTAAAACTTTAATTATGGTAAAAACAATGCTATATAAAATTTAAAATAAAATGAAAGGTTTCCATTAAGAAATTTTAATGTTTTTCATGTTAAGCTAAATATTTTTTAAATACAACCTTTAAACATGAAAGGCTATTTCAATTTCATTGATGTTTCTTTATAATAAAATATTATCCTATAATTTTCAAATTAAATTAAATTAAATCAATCAATCAATTAAAAGGTACATTCCAGCTATTTTTCATTTATGTTCTATTATTATTTATATGTAAATAACTAACTAACATTTAAAGCAAACCGTCCACGATTTTCATTCAAGCAATTACTAAAACTTCAATTGATTTAATCCCTATGGTATCTCTTTGACACATGTTTCTTGAATTTTTCCTTAAATCAATTTTCAAGACCTGTCTAAGGTACCCCTCTGAAAACCCCCAAATTGACAACACTGATCCAGGTGCTTTGGTTCCTTCACTCACCTTGTCGTTGGTCTGGCAGGCTCGTAGGTCCGCCTCATGTCTCTCTAAATCAGTCAAACGTTTTAGTAAGGCACTCAGTGTTTGGGAGACAACGGCTTCCAAATGCGAATTGGAACATCTGGCGACGAAGAGTTGAAGAGTTCCGAGTTCAAGAGTTGATTGGGTGCAATTTGCGTTAAGCCGAAAGGGAAATACAGAGGGTGAGAGGGATGATATAGGCAATTTGCTTGGCAAAATTCCTTCCTTTTTGGTATTTTCTCTTCTCACCTGGCAACGATATGTTTGACATGGCTCATCATCCGCTCATCCCGATAGTCATAGGGGAACTTCATCGTCCATTCGGCCAGCAAAGCGACTAAGGATTCCAGGCAACCGCCATCAGGTACCGAATGCAATAGTTTGCCCAGAAGTTCATGGGGTCGCAGGAATAAGCGTGATGATAATAAAAACGAGAATACAAATTCCTGCAATCGTGAAATAAGCAAATATAAGACTAGATTAGTGGCAAACTCAAAAGCTATTCCACCAGCATAATAAAATGAGTGTTGCTATGGCTGGCAAATGTCTGTTGAGGCACTGAGGAAATATTTTTGGGGGAGAGTAAGTAATTTATTAGAAAATTACTATACATTTTATAATAATTTAATTCAATTATATTCTCAAGGAAATATTATAAAATAAGTATACAAATGTCATTAAAATATTTTCTTTTTCGATATACATATTTTGTATTATTTTTTCTAATACACATATCTTTTTTAATCTTTCAAAGCTTTTATTTAATCCATAGTATTTCCCTCAGTGCAATATCTCTCGAAGCCAGCAATTAGCTTAGTTTTTGTTGTTGTTTGTCTTTGACTTTTGCAGCTTTTCCTTGGCCAAGGGCATCGCACATCAGCTCTATCAAATTAGCGCTAATCTCTGGATTTGTTTGCAACGAATTAATTATTTTTGCACTTGCTGCCTGTGGCCTCTGAATGGTCGTCGCCTCTCACACACCAGATTGTCCTTGTTTGCTTGCTTTTTGTTTTGTCCCCTGGGCTTGGGTCTTTTTTGGGTCTTGTCCTGGCCAAAGGACAGACTCTGGTTGCCTTTTGGGTTGTGGTTTTTGGCTCGTGCCAGCAACCTCAAGTTGGCAAGCGTTCAAGTCTTTAAGTGTCCTGTGACTAAGTAAGAACTGATTTGTATTCCATTTGGCATATGCAATAGGGGATTCGCATATAAATGCGATTAAAGGGTGACCAAAACAGTGATCTGACTTAAAGCAGAAGTAGAGCCACAAGTTTAATCCTAAAAATGCTTTTCTTCTAGCTTTTGATTGATAAATTACTAATCTGATGAATATTTATTTAAACACTATTTAAATGCTTTAAAATGATAAATATTAATGACTGTATATATGCATTTTTCTATTCTCAAACACCTCTACTAATATTGCTATATTTGCCAAATAGAAAAATTTCAACCGAAAATGAATTTAACATACATTTTATTACCTTTTGCCAGATGCCAAACTAAACGAAAAAACTAATTTCAATTGCAAAAATATATATGCCCATGTATTATTTATTTTCTTTTGCATCGACATTTTATTCATTTAACATAGTCTGGGCAATATTGTAAATATATTGAATATTTATACAGACGGCAACAGGAAATTCTCTGTTTGACACAAACTAAACTTAGTTAAGTTTCCTCTTTTATTGATTTAAGTTCTAGTTAAATTATGTATAAACTTACCTTATCTAAATCGATGACATTCTTGGGCAAAAGTGCTTCGACTAGGGATTCCAATGGCCCAGAAACTGCTCTACCATTTATGTACATAATGCCTCCGGAGCCCAAAACTGAACTCTGTAAAAACAGATTAAATAATGGTTTAATTTTTATACAATTTGTAACGTTTGTAGCGCAAATACCAAACCAAAACTAAAATGAAACCACTTTACTCGGCCAAACAATATGTTGACTGGAAACAGGGCCAATAGAAAATGATTATTAAATAGGGGGAAAATAGGGAAATTGGGAAAACAGTTGCACTTAATTACCAAAGTGCTTACCTCAAAATTAATATCACATTGGCTGCGCTTATGCGGATTTTTGGGCACATCGTACTGGACAACATCGTCGTTGTTCGCGCCATTCGATTTTGTGGTGCCAAGCTGCAAAAACCAGACAAACAAAGCCATAATTAATGGAATATAAAGAGAGTTGTTCGATATGCAGGCTATTTTACGCTTAGATTTTCCAGTTAAAAGGGTGTACTAGATATACATACATATAGAATTTAGTTGGGCAGTGTAGAACGAAGCAAAAGAATTTTGTGATTTTAATCGATTTACTTTATTTAGAAATATTTTTAAAGACTTTAATAAAAGAATATAAATCTTAACAATTAAGAAAGTATGATTTAAATGCTCTTTATTAATTTAAATTTATCTTTATAGTATATTTTTAAATTATCCTGAAGTTTTATTTATATATTCGGAATTGTGATAGATACTAATTACTATCGCCTTGAAGTGTATTATAATTTTAGTCAGAAGCTTAGAAAACTGTGAAGGAGTCATTTTCGACCCTATAAATCATATATATTTTTGATCAGCTTGAACAACCGAGTCGATCTAGCTATCTCAGGAAGAAAAAAAATTTTTGAAATTTTTTCCCAATTTTCGTTAAAATTGTAAAAAAAAATATTGATAAAAATTTTATTTTTTTTACATTTTAAATTGAGTATACAGGTTTGTTAAGCTATTAAAAACTAGCATAGAAAAGCTTTTCGAATTGAAATTAATGCATTTTTGGCTGAGTTACGAAATTTTAAAACATTAATTTGACGAATAATTTTTAATACAAAAATATTTATAAATATCATGTATTTAAAGCATAGTTTTAATAGATTTTTAATTCGATCTTATAATTTAGTTGCAAATCTTTCTTTGTAACTGGAACTTTTTATTTTTATAAATTTTTAAACTGTTCTCTCTTACGACATCATGGCGTATACTTAATTTAAGGGGGTAACGTTAAGTATACGCCATGTATACTGGATTTATCTTAAATCAAAGACTAAATTTATACTGCGGAAGGATATTATAATTTTAGTCAGAAGCTTGTAACTCAGTGAAGGAGTCATTAAAAGTCCAATAAAGTATATATTTATCTATATTATCTTTTAATGGTTTTGCATTTTCATTTTAATTATAATTGCCACTCACCTCGATTTGCTGAAACCCCATTTCCAAGTCGTAAGCACTCAGCTGCTCGGCGCTATGTCGCCTCCGGTACCGGATCCCACCCAAAAGAGCTGTCTCCGCTGTGAGATTTCCCGGATCCAGTGAGAATATGCCACCGGATGACACTTCACCAGCTGTCGCTCCCGCTGATGCCGCTCCCGTTTCACCCATTTCCAGGCAACAGTCATCCGCAGATTCACTGTCGGAGCTACTGCCGCTGCTGAGATGACACCGCCGTCGATGATGCCGCCGGTGGTGCTGACCCTGTTGGTGGTGCTGATGATGGTTCTGATGGTGGTGCTGGTGGTGATGCCCTCCATGGCGGCATTTGTCTCGATCGCGTTGCCCGCGCGATTTTTGCAGAACGGTCTGCTTGCAGCGTGTTCCGCAGGCGATGGCTGATATTTTGCTGGCATAAAAGTACATCGCCATGTGTCACGTTCGTTTCGCCGCTCGTGACGCGGTCATGTGTGTGGGGTGTTAGTGGGTGGGTGTGTGTGTGTGTGCTGGGTGGTTTTTTGTCTTTTTTGGGAGTGAACCTCCGCCTGGGCTCCGCTGTCTACTTAATGCATGAGCACGCAACGGGCAGGTGGCAAGCTAGACTTCCCCATGGCCAGGCACGTCCAATCAAATGTCAATTACGTTGGGGATTAGAAGTTACCTGCATGGGGAGAAAATAGCAAAAATATATGACTATTAATAGTTAGGAGAAGAAAATCAGGTGTTTTTTTAAGTATATTTCTTGGAAATATTTGAAGAAGATCATGAAGGAGTATATGTGACATTTATGGAAAGGTGTTTGTCGTATTTTTACATATTTAAACTATGTTTAGAAAGGTTAGAAATGTATTTTAAGATCTATAAATACTCAATCACATATATAGATATTGCACATACATTTAAAATTAATACCTCTTCCTTCAGGCTATTTTTTACAGTGCTAAAAGACTTTAAAGTTATTTTCACAACTTCAACAACAATTCAAAAAGAAAGATACAATAATGTGGACCATTTTCTTCCTTAAATATGGTTTTCTAATTATTCTATATTTCCCAAAATAAAAACCAATATTTATTCTATATCAAATAATACTAATTACACATAATTTTCCCTTGTGTACTAACTAGTGGTCTTTCATGTCCTCAAAGCCGGATCAGTTTCAAATTCATTTTGTTTTCTACCCCGCCTTTTCCAATTTCTACACTTTATGCAGTCGGCTTATGGGCTTTTCCAAAGCAGAAAACAGAGAGAGAGAGAGAGAGAGAGGGACACAGAGAAAGCAAATCAAAAATCAAATCTGTGAAAAACTGCGACGTTTTATGGCTCACTTGGTTCACGCGGCGTCAACAAGTCAACGTTGCGGTCAATCGCCGCCCATTACTCATACGCCGTGTGGTCCCGGCATCCCGGCCGAGTGCTTAAATCACAGCGTGTCTGCCATTCCGCGTGTGCGTGAGTTAGGTTATGGTTAGGGTTATTATCCCTTTGGGCCCTCTTGCGACTCATCAGCCCATAGACATGTGCGTATCATCAATAATGGGCGTAACCAGGAAAAGGGAGGCGGTTGCCCATCACTCGAGTCGATGGGAGTCATTAAATCACTGCAGATGCGTTAAGGGCCAATGAACAAAGAATCGAACAACTGATGTATGAATTGATGGGTTCAAGGTTAGCAATGAATAAACATTCCTGCGCAGGGATAGGCGTTAAAATGGAAAAAGGAATAGCTTGTTTATATATAGTTGAAACGAGAGTTAATCGGTGGATTCGAGAGATGCGATTGCGATACTTTAATGTTAGTATTTTCCCTAAAGTATTAAGCCTTTACAACAGAAATCTTTATGACTTCATTTCAAAAGGATGAAATATATGAGTCATGTAACCTCCTGAGAGGAAAAGGATTAAAAAATCGTATAAAAGACATGAATATCAACCTGGAAAACTCCTTTTCCCATTACGCATCCCTTTTGGGATTTCTGCGACTGTGGAAAACCTTCGAAAGAAATCTATAAAGAAACGCCGGCAGTTGGTCTTAATGGAGATTAACCACGCACAAAAGATAACGATGCCACTGCTGAAGAAAACATATATGGATGAAATGAACAATTCGTATTAAATATGCAGACACGGAAGGAGCTGTGCGTGATGGCTAAAAGGAATGCCATAACACCGGAAGTGTTGCCTTGCACCTGACCAAATCAATATGGAAGTGAGCAGGAATATCCGATTTCTATTAATGCATGAAATTCAACAGTTGCTTTTTGGAGCTGCCACAGAAACGAGGTCTTGATGAGGGCCACAAATAAATTCCAGTTCAATGTTTCTTTTTTTTCAGACATAAACCCAAATATTGCGTCACTCCCAAATTGCCAATTAAGGCAACCACATATATCTATGTATGTGCAATTGGTTTAACAAAGATACTGCCTTTGTACTTTCGTTCATTACACAAGTCATGCATAATAAATCATTTTTGGCTACCATTTGCATTTATATTTGGACAACAAAAAGGGATTACAGGCTTAATGTTTCAAATAATATATATATGTATATATATATATATATAGGTTGCAAGTCAATAAATAATTCGATTGCAATACAATATTGAATCAGTCAATTTTGGCAGCTTAGCAAAGTGCAATTTGAATGGAAAGGGTATCAAGGGATAATACCATAAAGAAATACTTTTTAGTAACCACTTATGTGAGATAATGGAATATAGTTTTCCACACAAAACAGATGTTGCTTATTTGTGAATCTAAAACGAATATTTTTTGGATATCTGCATAATCCAGTCAACAGTTGTAAAATATGAATTGTAGGGGGAAATGTGCAAAGATGAATGTGGCAAAAAGAAAGAAAAGGAGAAGGAACTGGTCAGATACAAGCGAATAAGGAAAATATATTTACATACATTTTCGGGGTAACCAGAATACATATTACCATGCTCAAGTGAGCGTAACAAAGGCGGAGCACACACACAAAACTTATGATATATGAGTGTGTATTCGGGGGATTCCCAAACTTGTGCACACTTAACTACAAGTTATGCCTGCCACGCCCACCATGTTCGATAGAAAAGAAAATAAGGAGAATAGAATGGAATAAATCTTTGTACCATTTTTGCTTATTTTTTGGTTGCTTTTTGGACAGAAAGCTTATTATAATTCCAATCATGTCGCCAGACTGCAGGCCCAGAATCTATGCAAAAAGGTTGGCAAATGAAATATTTTCAATTTTAATATTGACAACCCCTCAGAATCGTTCGATATCTTTCTGGGCCAAGTATCCCGGCAACAACAGATTGCGGGGGAATAATACAAGACAAAAAATATCAATTTGGTCTGACACATTTTATTTCGTTTCAATGCCCATTACCGATGTCCTTGTCTACACTTTTCCGCTCAAGAGCACAGAAATAAAGCGAAGGATATGCGCAAGGCAAAAAAAAATCAATCAATTATATTGGGCACGATAAAGTTATTCCAAGAAGTCCCCATATTGATTGTAAATTTCTCGATGCTCTTGCTACGCCGGAATGAATATTAAGTGAAGTAGAATTTTTCTGGAATTTTGCTTCATAAAATATTTCTCCTCAGTCTCCATGAAAAACCGCAATATATCTTGTAACAAAGGGTAATTTCCAACCATAATTTGCTCTCGTTGACGCTTTGCCCTGACCACAGAAATTCTTGATTGCTCCAGCTTGTCCTTTGCCCTCGATCCTTGTTGGTTTAATAATTAATAATGTAATTAGAGGAGAATGCAACCGCTTTTGGTATCTTGATGTTTGTGGTCTAAATGCATTCCAAGGAACTTTAATCTGTATTTACTTAGCAGGAATTTTACTCTGTCCAAGAGTTTGCCTGTTAAACATTATCGCCAATAATGTGGAATATTTTGCAACTTGATTGCGAAGACTTGAATGCTAAACTCGGGTATGGTTTGCATATATTTACGCCAATCTCAACTTTGGCTACACTCCAAATAAGTGTCGGTTTTGGTCCTGCTCCTGCTCCTGCTTCTGGTCTTTGTCTTCTCTGTGTACCCCAAGGAGCGGCAGCTGCTGCAAGTGTCCTCGAATCTATTAGCATAAAACTGATAAAAATAAACTGATGTCGTTGTCGTTGTCGCCGTTGTCAACAAGCGGTGGCAACAAGCTCGCTGGGCAAACAAACAACTACAATCAGCTCACAACACGCTGGCAACAAATTTTGGCTAAGCAAGTTCAGCAAAAGGCCAAAGGAAAGCCACAGAGTCCTGTGAAATCGAGTTTTTAGAAATTTCCCGTTTGACAATTTTTGTATAGAATTCTTTTGAGCAAATAATTAAAGTTTGACTTGGGTTAGTTTTAGACAAAGCTAACAAAACCTTTAAACAAAATAAATATAATTACTTTAATATTTATGTTTAACTTGCTAAATCGGATAAATTGCCTTGGCAATGTATTTTATCCCTAATCTTATTTGTTATTTATATCTTTAAATATATATTACCCTTCTAAACTGTATCTCTAATTAGATAATATATTTCACATACTTTAGTGATCCAACTAAAATTCCCTAAATATTTCATTTAATTTCCCTTTTTTTAAATTGATTATATTTTTCTTCCATTTTCCATTAACGTTTGATTTGATCGGCTTGCACTTTGTTTACTTTCACTTTGCTCGTTTTGTTTATGCTGTTTGGCTTTTGTTGTTTTACGCTTTTTATGGGATTTAAAATCAATTATGTTGTAGTTTGTTTTTTCTTTTGCGTCCAGTTATTTATTGGCAAATGCTTTTTACTTTGGCTTGAACAAAAAAAAAAAAAAAAAAACATTGATTTCTCATATTTATCACTTTATTGCATTGCGCGAAAAGTGGATTTTTCTACATTTAATGCTGATTATCTATTTGCGAAAAATATTTGATTTGCATGAGAGTTTTTATAACATTGGAATGTGTGAAGCTGCGGAATTAAAATGTGTAACGAGTGTTTTAATAGGATTATTGAATCATACGATTATAAACATTTACTCACATTTGATTATTTAGCACTTGACGTGGTTATTTGAATACTAAATTAATTAATTTTTTGCCTACAAAACTAACATTCCATCAATTTGTATTCCCCATTAAACAAATAAGTAAATGTTATTTGCAGTTGATCAACCAACACTTGATATGTTATATTTAACTATTTAATTTATTCCATGCGCAGTACAGTTCGCGGTATTTTTTTCCCCATAGAACCACTTTTGTCTTGGCGTCAAATGTTTAATTAATTACAACTTTTCTACAATTTTCTTCGCGCTTAGCAATCATTATTTACATTAGATTTAATTAGCATTTTTCACGCTTTTGTCTGCGGACTGAAAAGCGCGGAAACGTGCGCTAATAAAAGTTCCTTTCAAATTACATTGACATTGTCTTTGGGGCTTGTTAACTTAGCGCCATTTGTAAGGTTTTAACGAAGGCAAAGTTAAAAAAGTACTCTTCACTTGATTTTCCCTTTCTCCCCCACACACATTTTCCAGCTTGACTGTCGACTTTTCTGCTTGGCCGACGATTTTCACTAGGAACAGCTTAAATGTAAAGAAACAACGTCTAACGAAAAAATTGAAATAAAAAAGCGACAGGAAAACTGTCAACGACATGGCCTCTCTGTGTGTCATAAAAGTGGCGCAAGAAAGAGAGAAACCGAAATTAAATTACTTTGACTTTCGATGTTGGACCATAAAAAATGCATTTGGGTCAGCCCTAAATTGTGAGAGATGCCAGATCCTCCACTCGGTTGCCATTAAAGGCAAGCCCAAAATTAATGCAATACCGGGAGAGAGAGAAGGAAACCTATTAATGACTTTTGAATTGTTTTATCAGACAATTTATTACAATCACCGCATCGACCAGGCAACCGCAATAAACCTAAAGCTATGCAAATTATTCTTCCTATTTTTTTTTTTTGTGTCCCTTTGATTTTTATCTGTTCTTCACATTTTTATGGCAGCTGTAAAGTCGAGAGGAACAGAATATAAAGAAAATCGGCTCAAAGTCTGAAAGTATTTGGCCATCATCATCAATCTTTTTCGGCAAAATGTGCAAAATGTTGGCAACTGCACTGCCAAGGCGATTGACAAATTGACGATGGGATTTTTCCTTGGCTTTTCCTCTGTGATATGTTTATGCAAATGCAGCTGGTAAGGGTTCCTTTGATAGGTGACATTTGCGGGGGTTAAAAAAACAAGGATTTAAGTCTAATGGCAGGGAAAGGATGAGAGTCAGAGACTCTATCCGTTGCATAGATAGCGTGATAGTGAAGGATAGAGATAATTAATATTTAATTTGTATAAATATATTCAATCTTTTGTTAAAATATTATTTAAGAAGATCTTCAATTATTTTCTCTGACAAATAGTTACAAACTAATAATGTCTAATAAGTTTTTTTTAGGTAATATTTAAGATTGTTTATTTACTTAAGTAGAAGCAAATTATTTTGAATTTTATTAAAAACTTCTTGAATGATTTAGTGTGAAGTTCACTCTATTAAAATAAAGAAAATGTAATTGGTTTGAAACATTATCAAACAATTTCCTTAACACATCAAAAGCTTTATATTTGTTCGGAATCTGCTTATATTCCTTATAATTCCATATTTATTCCACATTTTTATATACCCTTAAAAGTCTTGTCCTTACTTTCTTCATACATTTTGCACCGATAAATATGACACAATTATAGCCTCTGAATATTTTTTAACTCCTGCGTATATATGGCTTGTAGATCGCAACTTAATTACAGGATATATCCGCTTCAGATGTGTTTCATCAATTAATGATTCTCCATTGCACAACTGCAGTTGCTGTCCCAGACTTAACTCCCAAAACGAATTTACGCACACAGTTCCATCTCGATGCGTTAATCGAAAATGCATTATTGTTTAACAGGCATAAGTAAATGGCAGTCGATGTCCTGTCCGAGCACGGAAATGAGAGCGTTTAAGCCAACTGCAGTGGCCAATGCGCAATGGGTTAATAAAGTCCGGAAACAGAACGAAAAAAGAATAAAAACAGTAAACAAACTGTTTGGGGGATATAGCCGGGACAATCGGAGGCAATGCGATGCCCGACATTATCGTCATTACCGAGGGGTAACGGTTACGGGAATGCATAAATTATATATGATTTTTCGAAGGGTAATGCAGCGTTTGCCAATTTTCGGATTTTTCTGTTTGTTTTTTTTTCTGATATCGCATGAATTTTAAGCGAACAAATGCTCTCTCATTTGAGTGTGTGAGTTAATCGAATGTTGCATACTTACTGGAGCAGCATTCAGTCGCCTGGAACCATATGCGATATTACTTATTTATGCCAGCCGCCTCAACGAACACTTTTGGCAATTTAAATTCATATTATTGATTTTTTGTTAAGAAATCGTGGGGCGCTGACAGCTGTGTTCGAATATATATATATTTTTTTTCGGTGGCTTCAATAAATACAAATAGCCTTGAATGGGTTTTAGCGAGGCATGTGGGTGTGGTGCAGTCTTTTTTTATTTATTTCTCAGCGTGACACACTTTCCATTTTGAAAATGGAGGGAACTGATTATAGGACTCGAAGATGTTATCATTATATTATTATTATTTTTTCAATTGATCTTCAGCTTGCACTTTGTACTTGTGTATAAAAACAAACACTATTTTGTATGGCAACTTAATATTTTCGATTTTATTTCAATATTTGCTGATCTTTAATTTTTTGTGGTTTATTTTAAAAACCGAATAGTATTTATTGTGATTAAACTTGTTCACTGAACTATTATATCCGCTTCCTGAACCGCACACTTACAGAATCCACGATGAACTGAAGAACTGGACCAATTTCGGCAGCTATGTTAAATTGTGTTCGACGGGTTTCCCTTAACAGAGCTCTGTTAAAAAAGGGAAATTTAGGAAGAACTCTGAAGGCAAGTTGATTGAGTCAAACATGTTGGAAGCCTTAACATAAGGCAGCCGTGGAACTAACACAGCTTCCACAATCTATAAGGTAAGCATATCTAATTAGGAAAAGGAATTAAAAAAATATATTAATATTTTTATAGGAAAAAAAAACATTTAATTTCGATGGGTATTCCTGGTATTTACTTGGGTAAAATTTATTTAAATCCTTCTGCGGGTTTTACCTTTTTCGCAGCTTACAACTCCAATGGACCCCCATTTGTGGCGTTGTAACAAATCGCTTGTCATGTTAACAGGAGTCCGCTATGGCATGGCTTTAATTACCACGGACTCATATGCTGGGCGACACCTGAAAGTATGCCATACAAATGAGAACTCATCTGCTTGATGCGTGTGTGTGGGGTGTGTGGGGGCCTTGGTAAATTACCCCCTAGTTTATCTCAGCACCCAGAGAGTCCCATGGTAACTGATATCTTTGTTTACTCAGCTGCCTTGTCAAATGTCTGGCAATGGTTTTGTTTTCTCCCCTTTTTTTTCTAGCCCTTGTTTGTCTCCCTTTTGCAGTGTGAAAAATGGTTATGAGCGTGGGTCTGGCAAATTTTCTTTGCCATTAAAAAATCCCCGAAAATAATGTCTGGGCCACACAACAAATTAGCGAAATCAATTTAATATTTTCATTGAGTTCCCAAAAAACTTTGCGTTGAGCGGTCAGCAGTATTTAAGGCTCACACAAACACACCTCAGCCTTGGCCAAACATTTCTGAGGTCACTGTTGAATTTGATGCCCGGGCTAACTTTTGATACGCAAAGGCAAAAGTTTTAAGTAGTGGCTTAAATTTTATATATTTCTATCCAAAAATTCTCTGGCTCGGTGTGTTCTTCCGACTTTTTGCTGCCCGCTTGGCAAGTTTAAATGTTTGTCGAGAATTTTAATTCATTTATAAAATATGCCCGGCCTTTGGGTCTATGTATATTCCCAAGACCACTTTCTCGCTCTCTCTCTCGTGTGGATTAAGTGCAGTCGCTCGGTCGACTCTTAAATTAATGAAATTCTGTGTGTTTCAAGTGTAAGTTAGCCGTAAGCTTTTTGTCTCTACGCCAATTAGCAGACTGGATGGAAACAGCTGCAAAACTTGCCGAGGAACTAAGCATAGGCAAAAGTTTTGTGTTGAGGAATATGTGTGCGAAATTGCTACTTGTGGGTGGGTTTTTTGGGTTTTGTTATTTAAGATCTTTTAAAGGTTTATTTTTCAAATTTATGAAAATAAATCAAGATGGGTTTTGTAGATGTCTATTAGCTAAATTGTTTAGGTTTATTAAGAGATGGTAGATGATTTAAGAGGCAACATTTTAATTGTTTTCAATGGTTTATTTAATTTATTTGTATGTTACAATGTTTATAGTATGTTTTCTTTATGTCTTACGCTTTAGAGTAATTTTTTAGAAATTTTTCAATGCATAAATTATTTAATTTTTAATTTAGAATTTATTGTACATCTACACTTTTGTATTTCACACAACTTAAGAAGTTTAACAATTCTTTCCAACACCTATTGAATATTTATTTCATTTTATGCCTTAAATCATTTTTATTCCTCCAGGAGTACTATGCAGGACCTCCCTGATCAGTTACTTCAATTACCAATCTATTGTCTAACTTAATGTTTGCTCTCCTGCGGCCATCGATACGTGAACTCCTTTGAACAATTTAGTTTCGGCAACTTCGTCTTGCAGTCTTACTCTGGTCAAAAAGTTAAATGTTTTCGTTTTGGGAACTTTTTAAATGCTTTCACGATACTTGACTGTGCGTTTTTTTTTGTTTTTTTTGGAGCCACCTTGGCAACTACCTTTTTGGCCAAAATCACATCGCACAACTTTTACTTGCTTCCATTACTTTTATTTCTGCGGTCGCTGTGGCAACATCTTGTGAATGGAATTTATGCTACTCGCACTTGTTACCCATAAGAAGACAAATCGATGAGAGTTGCACACATATATATTCCAGAACTTCTGTAGTGCAAGTTGATATGTTTCTCTGTGACTGAAACATTCGCACGAATGCCATAATTTATTGAATTTGAACTTAAGAGGGTTGCATTAATTTATTTACCAGCTGCTGGGGTGTTTTCCACTTACCTTAAGCAATCGCAAGTTGCAGTTGCACTTGAGAGGTGTGGGAGAGTTACTGGTGCATAATCCTGTAGAGTGACATGTCAGCGTGGTTTCACTCTGATATCGGGATTAACAGCACATGCAAATTGAAGGCTGGAGGCAAGTCGCCTTCTAATCCAATTTCAATTGCTTAATCCACCATGACTGACACTAAGAGCGAAGTTGAAAGATGGCCGACGGAGGCGGAAGTGCTCCCGTGTTACTATATCTAGTGTGTGTGTGTGTGTGTGTGTGTGTTTGGAGCGAACATCTTTACGCACCAGGGCACTTCAAACACTCGAGTTGCTATTGAATTACGCACACTCACACATGTCAACATATCATGTTACACTTCACTTTGTGTGTTCGCTAAGTAAGTTGTAGTTTGGTTCGCCAAGAGCGGAAGCGGAAATGCTCATGTTGCTGCTGGTGCTGCTGCTGCTGCTGCCATCCCACATAAAATCACAATGTTGACCCTTTTATTTCGACTGGAAGTTTTATAACCAAAAAAAAAAAAATAAAAGAATCGGGGCCACATACACGAAATAAAGGAGCTCAAGCTGTGTGTTTGCTTAAGTTTTATGTGTGCACAGATTTTACGACCGAGCTGAACAACAGCACGTAGCTCAAGGCCCGGCTTAGTGGCCCGTGAACTTTGCCAGAGGTCAGCCAGTTATGGTATGCATTTTAAATGGGATTGCACTCCTCTTCATCGCATTATTCTGTCATGAAAAAAAAGAAGAAAAGGCCACACCCGCAATAACCAAAATCCATCTGACAAGCTGGATTGCTGAAAAAATAAGAAGGCGATTCGACTGATATTCATTAAACTTCACTTAACTGATAATTGATTTTTGATACTCTTACATATTAAATAGCTACAATTTTATTATAAAAGAGCCAAGAATTTTCAGAAGGTAATTATACTATTTAAAAGCTGGATTAAATGAATATAAATCCCTTTAATAAAATGATTTTTCTCTCTTTAAAGAGCTCTTGAAAATATCTTTATCCATTTAAATAAATAAATAATATCATATGATCAACTGCTGTTAAATATGAATAAGCTTTATTGGTAATAAATTCCTTAATAAATTAATAAAAAATCATACACTTGTAGAGCATTTATGCCATGCAGCATTTTAAAGTAAGTTTTTCTCCCTACCTTGCTTGATTTTTGTTTTTGTATAAAAACTCGGATAAAAGGATTCGTCTGCTGACAGGAGTGCAATGCGGTTTAATTAGTGCCACAGGATGGGTGTGGCAATCCAGAGACATGCACTTTTCCATCGGTCAGCAATGTGACAGCCAAAAAGCGGAAAGTGGATAAATTAACAAACAAAAGTGGCGGCAAACTTAAAGGGGGATTGGCATTGAAACACGTTTTCAATTAACGCCACTTTGCTGAGGACCGACGGCGAAGGCTAATAATGAGTTGACAAATGGCTTGTGTCAAAGAAAAGCCGCGCGGAATAAACAAACAAACAACAGACAGATAGACAGAGAAACAGGAGCTCAAACCACACCGACAGACTGAACACGTCTTCATGCCAGAGTGCGTGACTTTGGGTGGATGTAGGCAATTTACCGCCCACCGCCCAGCTGTCAACTTTGGCGACACTCATACACACCTCCCTGCAACACACACACAACACACACTCTTCAACCAAACAGAGTTGTCAACTTACAAGGCTTTGGTGGCTAAAGTGTCGCGTAATTTATTTTCCACCTCTCGTCGACGACTGACAAATGAGCTGATAATTTCCCCCCCCCCATTGTCAAGGACATTCTAGGGGTAGTGGGTGGGTGGGTGGTGCTTGGGCTAATTCATGGCCACCCGGAATTGCCTAGTCATTGGAGGAAGGCTTTGTCTAGCCGTTGACAGGAGAAATTAATTTGTGTTTGCTTGCCTGTTTGACACTCGTGAGTTATTGACGAGAAATGCGGAATACGGAATATGGAAATGCGAATGGATGAGCACAAACTATGTCAAGGAATTCGATAATAATCTCAATGATGAATGAAATGAATTATTAAATAGTGAGACGAGGATGTAGAAACTTGTAGATTATACCAGCGTTTGTAATAAGAATAAAAATTGAGTCAAACTAATAGAATTGTAAAGATTTATTAATTTCTTATAAGTATGTTAGAATGAATTATTATGCTAAAAAGTAAACCACTGAATGTGTCTTTTATTTAATACCAACATTGCTTATAAATATACTTTTAATTCGTAAAAAAAATATATATAAATAATCAAACAAACGATTAAAGATCGTCATACTTTTGAATGCTAAGGGATATTTTGGACCAGCAGAAGTTAATCAATAACATCTGTGCAAAGGTGTTCGACCATTCAAAATGTTTTATAATTTTGGAATTAAATAAACAATGACAGCTTTAAACAGCAATGGTATGATTCCATAATGATAATCGATTCAAGGTCAAAGAATAACCTAAGAAGTAAAGTAGAATGAGTAAATATTATACAATTAATGTAGTATATTTTTAATCCTCTGTTTTAAGTTGCTAATTTAATTAATCTCTTTGAATAGGTAACAATATGTTTGTATATCAATTAATTGCGAATTTTTAAAATAATTCATTGTTTGATTATAAACAAGAATGTAATCAAATTATTCCGAATTGAAATTAATCATAACTAAGCCAAAAATTCATTAATTTCAATTCGGTAAGCATTTCTGTGCTAGTTTTCAATAGCTTTAAAAATGAACATAATGAAGTTAACATTTTAAAAAGTAAATTTTGTGTTAATTTTTTTTGACAATTTTAAAGAAAAAAATTGTTAAATTTACTTTTTCTTGGGAACAATGCTAGATAGATTCGGCAGTTAGTGCTGATCAAGAATATATATGATTTATAGTGTCGGAAAAGACTCCTTCACCAAATATCAAGCTTCTGACTAAAATTATACGACATATAAACTACCTAATATTATTTAAATTATATTAAATTTTATATATATACATATATTATATATATATTATATTATTATACCGAATCTACTCATAATAATGAGTTAAGCGGAAAATATGAGTCCCATGTAATTAAAGACTATATTGAATACCTAACTAATAAGCCTCGATGGAGCCTAGATTGAATATAAATTAAAATGTAAACCTGTGTTAAAAACAAAGTTCTGGTGACATTATTCCTTAGCATCATTTCCCAATAATATTCTTCAGTTTATATATTGTAGTTTAATCATGCATTTATTTATTTAGGAACAAACATCTAAAACTTTTGCTTTGCAAAATTTGTCACAACAGTTGGGGTGCTTATGCGTATTATGATTGATCTCCAGACACTCCTGGTGGTTTACACTTGGCAGTAAGAAACAACTGTAAGAAAATATAATTGAAATGAGGTGAGAGGATGTTCAATTCTTTCAAAGTTTAATTTACGTACTTAGCTTGTTCTTAGACCGACGGACATCGTTAATAATCTTAATCTCCTCATCACAGGTGTACACCCAATTGCAGGGCTTGTCCCATTCCGAGCAGGTAAATCGCAGGCGCATTGATGTATCAATTTCTTTCCCCGGCAACATGGATTCGTGTTCACGACCACCTCGCAGCCATTCTTAATGTTGGTGCTAGATTGGCACTGGGAGCTGAGCTCGAAGGCAACGAAAAGGAGCAGCAGAGTGAACAGGATCTTGGCAGCCATGTCGGATACTTCTCAGATGAAGTGGCTAGGCACTCGGCCCTTTTATAGTCTTCTTTCCTACCCCACGGAGTGGGTTATTTTAATTTTTTGTTAAAATGAAACAGCTCCTTTCAACAGTTGTGTACACACAGACTGGCGGGCAGGGGTATAAAAGAAAGACGTTTAGCAGGAATTGTCTGAGTGCTCTGCAAGCAAAACATGGCCGCCATACGAATTCTTCTGATATCCCAGCTTCTAGCCTGCCTCTGGGTCTCGGTTTCGTCCTGTCTACCCCCACCACCTGTGAGCAGCTGTGTGCCCTTCGTGGGTGTGAGTGGATGCGTCAATTCAAATATTAAGGAACCCAAATTGCCGCCCAGAGATAATGCTTGCTGTGGACCCCATTGCACCTATACTGCACAAAATCCACCAGGATGCTGCAATAACACTGTTACAGGACTTTGTATCCTGGATACGCACTGCGATTACAACGTGGCCTTTTACTATACCAAATTTCAAATTGCCAATTGCGTTCAATTAATGAAAAAAGGTTGAAGAAGGGCTATGCACGTGAGTATAAATATATTCAATTTTATATCATTTGGTTGCTGCATTTATCCCTATTTTAATTATACAGGTTTGCTGGCATTCGATATGAACAAAAAACTTGCAACCTTCAGAATAAAAAGTGTGGTATTAATTGCTGCTGCCGTGAGACATGTCCAACTCAGTTTTGTAAAGTTTGTTAATAAAAATGAAAAGTTTTGACCAATTATAAGTGAATATAAAGTGTTTCCTTGAAAGCTAATTAAAGATATTTTCAATTTTATATTAATTAGGAAATTTAATTATATTTGATCTGCAGCTCTGCTCAGTTAAATGTTAAAATATAAAGAAGAAAGTCTTAATCTCTTCGTGTTGTAAGAGTTTTTATAACCATAAAAATAAAAAACAATATAAAATTCAATAATTTGCCAATTAACTATTCAAGTATCTATCATAATCATGTGCGTTTCACAAGTGCTAAACTCTTAAATTTATATTAATGACTTAAATGCATACTCATTTTAAGCCTCCGGTCCTCATACTTCAGATGGGACTTTGGTAAATGCTGTCACTCCACTCTTACAATTTACATATCCTTACATCCATGTATATCAAGAGAGTTGTAAAACCTTTTTTTGGTGTTGGCTTAATGACATCTTGCCGGCAATGTGTATGAAAACGTACGTCACAAAATTAAAAGTTTACCAACTGACTGGAGATATCTTGCGAAATGAAATCACAGAGATATAATATATATAAATATTAAATATAAGATCTTTTATTATTTTAACTTAAGTTTAAATAAATAAACGTTGATCAAAACGATTAGTATATATTACTTAATAAACAGTTTCTCTGAGTAATATCCGGCATAAAGAAAACATATTTTATCAATGTGACAAACCGTAACATAGTATAAGGTTGCATTTAAAATACTCTGTCAATAACAAGTCCTCCGTTTATAGCTTAGTTTTTATAAAATTAATCTTTCTATACAAAGTTAAATTATAAAAATAACTAAGTAGATTCAAGAGATCTCATTCTTTCAAGCATTGGATAAATAAATATAACAACTTATTTGTTATTATATTATTATTGAGTTAAGATCGCGATTTATATACTGTGTGTATCTTTAAAAATTAATTTTTTGCTGACTCAATTGCTTGGTTTTATGAGAGGCTTAACATATAATTCAACACAACATTTACTGGATAGAGTATAAATAGAATCACAAAACATTATGATGAAATAAATTAAGCTTTATTGATAAGAAGGAAGTGCTTGTCGTTTCTCAGTTAAATTTTGCGAAGTTCAGTGCTATATAAACATTCGTTGTCGGCGTTATTATGAAGTCACAAGCGGTTTTGTTCTTTGCAATTATTGCATCTTTCTTATACAAATCCCTGGCAGGACCTGATGATGTTTCATCTACGGTCTGCCTTCTTCAGGATGAACCAAATCAATGTGGAAAATTCTGCTTAACCGCTCTAAAACCACTCATTGATCACATTGCCCTTCACCAGCAGCAGTGGAATACCCGTGATGCTGTCATGGTGAATGAAACTCAAACGAAATTAAACAGGATTGAAGGACAACTGGATGCACTAAGGACTCCCTGGTTAAACTTCTTCCGAAGATCTTGCGACGAGACTGGAGACAATGAAAAACAACAACATCAGCTTTTAAGACAAACAAATTGTTAGATCTGCAAAAGACATTATCCAAAATCAATAGGCAGATGCTCCTGAAGAATTTCAACCAAATTTGGTAACAAACACTTCTACGTGGAACAATATCTGAAGAGAATTGGACAGGGGCTATAACTACTTGTGGTCAGATGGGCGGTCAATTGGCATCCATTGAGAATGAAAGTGAATTTGATGCGATCGTTGCGAAATTAAAATCAGATATTAGCTACAGAGTGGATATAAACGATCTGGCGGAAAAGGGAAGTTCATCTCCAGATTCGGGAAACCAGCTGTATTTTTCAAGTGGAAGCGAGGAGAACCAAGATACGATACCGAGTCTCAGCGCTGTGTGACCATCAATGGAGGAGGCATGTGGGTTGATAGTTTGCAAAAATGATATGAACTTTATATGTGAGGCAAGCTACGAAGAATAATATTAAAAAAATACGATATAAAAATAATAATAATAATATAATAAAATAATAAAATAATAAAAATTCATTTAATATGAATTATTAAACATACAATTTTTATAGCATAATTGAAACTTCTGCAACCTTCTATATATATATATTAACATAAATAATGAATTTTGAAGACTTGCACTTATGAACGAAAAAATCATATATAAATTATACATATATAAATTTAGAGATTAAAGAATTTAGTACTAAAGATATACAGATTATATTTCAAAAGGCATCATTATTTAAAGAGTATATATTAATCATTTAATCACCAAAAGTTGTTCGAGTTCCTTAAATATTTGTATTTGCCATGTGTTTGCTATAAATATATACAAATAAATATTAAATATATATAAAAATATTATTATTTATATTTTGCGACCTTTTTCAGTGGCCTTACATTACCGACATCCACTGTTCCTGTGGCATATGCGAATGGGCTGCACTGCAATTTGGCTTTAATGCATTTTTAATTTGTGTATGCGTGTGCCATAGCCTGCATCAGTGTATGTATATTTATATATACATACATATGCTATATATATATATATATATATATATATATGTGTGTGTATATGTACTTGTTTGTATGTAAATAGAAAATGAAATTACCGATGCGCTACTTTGTAGCCTCCTCCATTCTGAGAAGGCTGAGCGAATTCCGTTTATGACTATTTTATGCGAACTGCAAATTCTTTTGCACTTTATTTTCGGCGCAGCTTAACATGCAAATTATTATTTGCCCAGCTGTGTACTGGTGTGTGTGTGTGTTGGGTGTGTGTCCTGGTGTGTGTGTTGTTGCAACATTGTGAGGGAATTTTATATGGGCGCCGGAGCCCTACAAAATGCCGTGTGCAGCTTGGGGCGCCTCTCTTTTTACGGTCGACTCCTTGCTCCGCGCCAGACTTCAATTTTTAATTTGCCACAGTTTTTGTTATTTCTCTCTCGTTTCCGCTGTTAATTATGTTACCCATTTGTTTGCACTTGGCGGAGCTAATAAAAAGCAGAAAAATAGTTGAGCAAAAAACGCAGTCCGTTAAAGATTAATGTTCATGTCTGCTGTGGGCAGGGGAAGGAAAAGGGGATTCCCTAACTTTGATTTTAAATTGGGAAACAAAAAAATATTGAATGATAAAACTTTGTATTTGCCTGCTTTGCGTCTGCTTATTAAATAAATACACATTTTCCATTTAGTTTTCACTTGCAACTTTTAACATTAGGGTAAAAAAAACCATGTTCGCTTTTCTTGATTCATTTCGTTTTTAATTTCCTGTTGCCATCGCCTGAGATGGTTAAGTGACTGCCGGTGATTTATTGGTAGGAAAATCACAGGAAATTGATATAAAATCATAGAAAATTATTTTTATAATAAGAGTTCGATTTTTACTCAGGCTCGAAATGGAAATTTATGACATTTTGTAATGGAAAATAACCATTTTCTTGCTAGAAAACGAAAAAAGGGGTAATTTTTAAACCGGAAATGAGAAAATCGTCCCTTTTGCCTTTGCTGTGGCCCGTAGCAAAGTAATTAATTTTTAATTGATTGGTGGAAAAGCCGGCAAGCACTCCAATTTCTCACTGCCAGGATTATTCTGCAAATTTGCAAATAGCAAAGAGTAAAGTAAAACCCTTCTTGCCATTCTCTAGGTCTAGACAACATTTCAGGGGCCATGTAACAGGGGACCAAGGGGCTAAGGGCCAAGTTAATGTCACGCACGGCAGTCAGCCCATTGCTGTAGCACTTTTAATGTCCTCATCGCTTTTACAAGTCAGCTAGCTGTATTTCACATCCATGTATGTAGGTATATATTCTGTGTGTGCTCAAGTGTAAAATGGAAAATGAGTTCGCACTTTAGATTAAAATCTGTAAACACGAGCAAGCACGGCACACGGTGTTGCTCTTTGCCCAGATTTGTTGGTTGCATCGCGCTTAAGGCTTATCGCATGGCATTCAATTAATCAGGGAAAAACTTCTTGAGGTGACGGCATCTTGATCACTTTTGCATACTAAATAGAGTGGTTTGCGTTAAGTATACGACATGTGTGGTGGAGCTCATTCAGGATTATGTAATTATAATGTTAATGAAAATGTTAAGTCATTAAAGCTAGTCTTTAAACATTTGTATTTGGTTTAAATGATATTTAGAAGCCCTTTCTCTTCGTATTCTCAATTATTATGCTCATATTTGTTCCCAGTTAGGTGCTTGCTGATTTTAAATTATTTAAAATTCAATCAATTTATTAAATACATTATTTTGCAATATACTCTTATAGCCTTAGGTGATTATTGTGGCAGCTTAGCTTAATCCATGATAAATCCATTAAAATAAACAATTTGTATTAGGTATACTATATTACGTATACGCAGTGTGTGCTCTATGCATTGTTCTTATTCCGCGTGACAAAGTGTATTGTGTTGGCCTAATGGATATAGAATGTCAATTAAGTGACGCAGCACAAAACGGAAACGGAAATGAACCCCCCCCCAATGAACCTTTTGCTTTTGACCAAAATGACAAATGCTTGTCATAAAGCGCTTAGCTTAAAGCACACCCGGAAACATATAATAAGGAAGTGCAGAGAAAATGCCAGAAACAGCGGGACGAGCAATGTAGTGGCAAGTGCGAACATATTTCAATTGTACTGAGAGCTGGCAACATAGTTTTTAAAATTAATAACAATAATTTATGCAGCAGCAACTACAGCGCAGCAGCACTCATAATAAATTCAGTGAAACTTTTGTACATATACTCAGGAGGGGCAGCAGGAAAATAACAACAAACAACGGCATCATCTCTATGCGGGAGCAAGTTGCATTTGAAGCCTTACAGGCAGCTTGGCAATTCTCATCAGCTGTGCCACTGCCACGGCCTCGGGCCGGGTGGAAAGAACTATAACTATGCATGTAAATTTATAACCCAGACCATTCCCTTCACAGTTGACCCCCTGAACCCCAAAGCCAGCTTCAATGGGCGACAAAACCCAACAAAAAAGAGGGAGAAAAAATGAAAACCAAACCGAACAGAACTTGTTTATGAAACAAGTCCAGGCGAGAAGTTGAGTGTATATGTGTGGAGGAGGGTGGTGACATTGTCACACTTGCCAAAATATATGAATTTTGAATTTCTAGGCCAGGAATTAGATGTAGAAACAAGAACCCTCCGACTTTATCTATTAAACTTTAAATAAAGGTGCTTTAAAGGGATGTAATAAGCATCATAGTTTCATTTTAGCTATAAAAATCTTTTTAATTTGTATTATTAATAACAATTAACCATTTTCTTTTAGTGAGGCAGTAGTACATATTTTTTCCTTGGTGCTGCTGGCACAATAACAACACGTAAATCTGGCAGCAGCTGACAAGTACAGAATTTGAGCTTGTTACGCTACCCAAAAACGCCATCACATAGCTCAAAAATGTTGTGCTCAGCTTCTGGATTGGCAAAAGCAAGAAAGGAGGAGCTTGAAGGGGATCGAAGGACATTACCCGAAGGCATTGAAATATTAATGCTAATGGCTAGAAGGAAACATTTCCTTGGCGTCGGGCAATCGCCTGATTGTATTGCTCGCCGAACTTTGGGTGTTTGGACGAAAACTCGAAAGGACGAACTGGCAGCAGGCGATGAGTTTTTCCCCCAATAAATTAATGAAA